ACAGGTATAGAGAGTCACACACCCTGACAAAGGTGTTCAGGGCCACAAACACACACTCTGGAGTGATCAGCCTGATACAGAACCCCATCCTGTAAATCCAGCCTGATCCAGCACACGGACAGGCCCCACAGACCTACAGCAGCCCTGCAGGCACACAAACACACATTCAGACACACCAACCACCAGGTCACGGACCCATCTCTACAAACAGAGGGCCAGACACACAAACTGACATAGGTAAACACAACCTAGAACAGCCAGACACATAGACATAAACACCCCGACACACCCACAGCACACACAGACCTCCAGATACACACAAATCGGCTGCACAGGAGTGGACCTACCTATATAGACAAGGAGTTATGCTGGGGCCTACTTGGCTACACTGCACCCGGCTGGGGAAGGGGGAGACAGTCAAACTCCCTACCCCCTCTTGGGACCTGAGGCTGGTGGGGGGTGTCATGGGGGCAGGGCGGGGACTCGGGAGAAAGGGTGGGGGCACTCTGAGTTGGGCATCTACAAGACCACCCATCCATGTCTCTCCATTTCCTGCCGACCCCCTCGCCAGACCTTTGCCTGGGCCCTCAGCGACCGTCCCCGCCTCCCTCAATGATGGCCCAAATCACCTTCCTCCTCCAGGATCTGGGAGGCTCCTGGCTTCCTTCTCCCAGTCTCCGCCCCTCCCTCTCACCCGGGGGTCTCCAGTCTGGCCCCATAGCTACCTTCTGAGCTGCGGCCTCCATACCTGCTCTGGTTTCCCTTCCCCCAAACACACTCTCCTCTGCGCCTTCAGCCTCACCTCTCCGCCTAGGCGCCCCTCCTCACTGCCGTCCTCTCCCTTCCCGGTTTGTTCCAAACCTGGTCGGCTTCATCCCCCTCTCCATCCGAAGGCCCCAGGTTCCCGGGCACCCCCTCCCCTTCTCCTTGTCCTGCTACCCTGGGTTTCTCCGTCTCTCGCCCCGCCACTCCTCCCTACCCCTTGTCCCCCCATCCCACCTCCCCGCACCAAGCCTCCCCAATTTCTACATCACCGTACCTGGCCTGCCGGGCGCCGGCCCCCCCATGCCGGGCTCCGCCCGGAGCAGGAGGAGGGAGGAGGAGAGACAGAGACCGGGGGGGAGCCGAACAGGGCCCTGCCGCAGAGACAGCCCCGCCTCCGGGTCCGCCCCCAGACCCGCCCCCGGCCCCAAACCCACCCTTCCACACCCTCCAAGGACGGAGTGGGAGCGGCGGGGCCGGGCTCTGCCGCTAGGCTGGGGTGGGGGGCATGGGGCCAGCGGAGCCCGCGGGGGGCACTTGGAGAAAGGTCGTGGGATTTGGGGGACCCGGAGCCAGCCCGCCCCCGCTTTGGGGCGTCCGCTCCTCGCCGCCCCTCGCCCCTGCCCCGCCGGGCCGCGCTGGGTTCGGTGTCCAAGGCCCCGGCGGAGCAATCGGGGGTGCGGGGTGCCGAGCGCAGCGGCGCCCCCCAGCGGCGGCCAGGGGCCGGCACACACGCGCGTACCCCGTGTGCCCGGCGCTCCCCGGGTGCGCACCCCGCGTCCGGCCGGGGCGAGGCTGCGGCTGCGGGGCCCGGAGTGCAGTGAGGCGGCGAGGCCGGCAGGGGGGGCCGGTTTCCGGGCGGAGGGGCTCTGAGAGTCGGCAGCCGGACCATCCGCGTCTTTGTCCAGCAGGGGGCGTGCTCCCTTGTCCGCGCGGCGTCTTCCAGCCGCCCCCCAGGTACAGGGAGGGCTGCGAGGCTGTTTCGCTGGGTGCTCATCGCCTTATCCCTGCAGCTTCCCAGGAGTCCAGACCTTATTTCACCACCTGGACTAACGTCTTCTGCCCATCCGCCCCCATGGCCCAAGTCGTCCTCCCAGTAACCCTTGACTCCAAAACCAAGTCATAAATGCAGCTTTGTAAGTCGTAAATTGCCCCACATTTAATAGAAGGCATTATAAATGCCCCGGGAGAGTTAACACATCAAAAATACATAACTATGGTTTCATATTTACACACCTTGGTGAGAATAAACTTTTATCTATTCACTCAACAAACATTTCCACAAAGACCACCAATGTCCCTGGGACTGCAGACACGGAGGAGCCCAAGTTGATGCCGAGTGTCTGAGTTGGTGGGAAGGGGAAGATTCAAAGATAAGTTTGAATAGTTTGTAGCCAGTCCTCACCGAAGGAAGGAGGCTCTGGGGGCGGAGCCGCGGGGCTGTGTTGTGAATTTTGCCAGAGGGGAGAGAGTTGGGTGAGGGGTTGTGTGGGAGGCTGCTTCCTGGACCTCATCACTTGGGAGGCCTCGGGATCTGGCTGTGGTAGCCGTTGTTGCCATAAAGAGAGAGAGAGAGGAGTGCAGATGCATGTTAACAAAGAGATAAAGAAGAAATATATAAACCGGAGGGAAGGGGATTTGTTTTGTTTTTGCTTAAAGGGTGATTAAAAATTTCCATGAGCTAACCTGAGGAAGGAAGGACGGGTCAACTAGTCTCAATGGCATCAAATGCTAGCTCTGACGCCTTGGGCAAGTAACCCAAGCCTCAGTTTCCTCAGCTTAGACAGTGGAGCTCAAAACCCACCCATGTCTGCCCTGGGCTGTTTTGAGAATCCATGAGCTAATTATGTGAAATGGACAAATATTAAGAATTTTCATATGCTTGGAAAGAGTTCCATATGACGAACCTGGGAGTGACAGCAGATGTGGTCATTAAACCCTGCTTTTGCTAAAACAGTTCCCCTCAGAATGCTGCCAAGCATATGAAAGTGGAAGTGTTAGTGGCTCAGTCCTGTCAAGCACACAGTAGGCGCTTAATGAGTGTGTGTGGATTCTCCATAGTGAGCAGGGGATGGGAAGGGTGAGAGGTGGGGGTGAGGGAAAGGGTCCGGGTTTGTGGCCAGCCAGGTTCCTCCTCCAGGCGGGCACATCTGTATGGGTGCTGGTGTGTTAACAGCGGTTGGTAGAGAAAATGCAAGTCAGCACCTTCCTTAGCGCGTCTCCGTGGTGTCTTCCTATCTAGGGAGCCAGACAAGGACACACCTGAGTGAGAACTGTCCCTGCGCTACCACTGACAGCCTTTCTGAACCTCTTGGGTCTCCATATAGACATTTAACAAGAGGAACTTGGGCAATGTTTGGGGTTTGATTCAAATCCTCCAGCACAATACCACGAAAGATTTTGAGAATATAGAGGAAACAAGGTCGGCTGTGAGCTGACAATTGTTGAAACTGCATCTCGGGTCCTTTAGGAGTTCCTTTTATCGTTCTCTCTACGTAGAGGCATGTTTGAAAATTGCCACAAAGATCCACTTGAAAAAACAAGAACGGGAGAAAAACGGTATCTACCTCGTTCGGTTACTGTGAAAGCCAGCGAAGATATGACAATAGCAGCTGCAGCAGCACCATAACCATTTACTGGGCGCTGATGGGGTGGCAGGCACCCGGCGGAACCCTGATTAAGTTCCTCCCCACTCCTCCGCGCGTTCGTAGGCCAATAGCAGCAAGTGCCTACAAGTAAGGGAATCCCTGGCTTCCCCGCAAACTCCTCCCCCTTTCTCTCCGCCCTCCGCGGCCCCTCCCTCCGAGGAAGTGCTGGGCTGGGGCCCAGCAGGTGTGGGGTTAAGGCAGCCTGTCCCGGGGCCCCCGTAAGAGCAGCAGCGGCAGCGGCAACTGCACCAGCAGTGGCGGTGGCAGACCTGGCCCCGGGCCAGCTGGCCGGGAGCCCCAGGAGCGAGAGAGGGCGGAGGAAGAGGGGAAGGAGGAGGAGGAGAGGAGCAGTCAGCAGGCCCGAGGAGGCAGGACTTCCTGGTGTGGGGGTTGTCAACAGCCCAGAAAGAGAAAGACCGAGAGGAACGGAGAGAGACCCATCGGTGCCACGCGGGAGGAGACTTGGGAGGGCCCGTCGCCGCGACGACCACCGAGGCGGCAGCACCTGCGGGATCGGGGGGAGGGGGCTGAGCCGCCCCCCTCTCGCTTCAGTCGGCCGAGCCTGGGGACCTCAGAGGCCGCGCCTGAGCTCCTCCAAGGAGGCGGGAGTTCCTTCTTTTCTGGATAGCAAACTTTCCGCTGAGATGCCTTGAGGGGCGAGGTGCGGCCCCCGAAGAGAACCTGACAGCCTCTGATCGCCGCCTGCGCGCCCACCCCCACCCCTACCCCGAGCTGCTGGGGCCAAGGAGGCTCCAGGGAAGGGACAGCCCCACACCTTAGGCGGCCGGGATCCCCGGCCCAGCTCGGTGGCCGCCGTCGAGAGGTAGGGCTCTAGGCTGGGCGGGGCACCGGGGCAGAGACTGCCCGGGGGATGGGGGAGCTGGGGTGCCGGGGATGGGGGGGTATTGGAGGGGGCGCTCGGATGCCCAGCACAGGCCTCCCCGCGGCCTGGCCGGGCTGAGGAGCAGCTTCACCCCTATTCACCCAGACCTTGGAGCTCTTGTTCTTGCAACTACTTGGGTTCGCACGAGTTTGAATCCCAGGGAGAAATGCCCAACTTTGGGTCTGGGCTGCCTCTTCCTGCTCTCTGCTCCCGCCCGGATCTGCTCGGGTTCTCTGTCTTTTCCGTTCCCTCTGCTCGGGTCTCTGTCATTTCTGTCTTTGTCTTTGGGTGTCTGGCGGTTTCCCCTTCCTCCCCCATTCTGCTCCCCAGAGAGGAAGCCCCAGAGGTGGCCTGCCCACTGCTTTCTCACACACACACACACACACACACACACACACTCTCTCTCTCTCTCTCTCTCTCCTTCTCTTTCTAGTTTGCAAACTCAGCTCTGGAGTTCAGCAACGACAGCAGCAGGAAAAACCTGCCCCTGCCCCCCCACTCCTGCCACCTCCCCTACCCTGTTCTCCCTTCACCAACCAGGCACCCCCCAGTTCCCGCAAGGCCCTCCTGCCATGTCGGACTCAGACATCCACAGGGGCCCTGATGTCCCCGCCATGTGGCCCCCCTGCTCCAGGGGTGCCTGAGCCCCTTGAAGAGCCACCACCAGCTCCCTGCCCACCTTGGCCCAGTCCTGAGCCCCAGGGACCATGAGTGGGGGCAAGAAGAAGAGTAGTTTCCAAATCACCAGCGTCACCTTGGACTACGAGGGCCCAGGGAGCCCCGGGGGTTCAGATGCCCCTGCCCTGCCGGCCCCCGCTGGGCCACCGGCCCCTACCGGGCCATCAGCCCCTGCCCCCGCTGGGCTACCAGCCCCGGCCCCCACCGGGCCCCCACCCCGCCTGCCCAATGGGGAGCCCAACCCCGAGCCAGGGGGCAAGAGCACCCCCCGGAATGGCTCCCCACCGCCTGGGGCCCCCGCCTCCCGTTTCCGGGTGGTGAAGCTGCCCCAAGGCCTGGGAGAGCCTTATCGCCGAGGCCGTTGGACGTGTGTGGATGTTTACGAGAGAGACCTGGAGCCCCCTAGCTTCGGCCGGCTCCTGGAGGGTATTCGAGGGGCCTCAGGAGGCAATGGGGGCAGATCTTTGGATTCCAGGTTGGAGCTGGCCAGCTTGGGCCTGGGCACCCCTATCCCACAGCCAGGCCTGTCTCAGGTCCCCACCTCCTGGCTCCGCCCACCCCCCACCTCCCCTGGACCTCAGGCCCGCTCCTTCACAGGGGGACTGGGCCAGCTGGCAGTGCCCGGCAAGGCCAAGGTGGAAACACCTCCGCTGTCCGCCTCCCCACCCCAGCAGCGCCCCCCAGAGCCTGGGACCGGGGATAGTGCGGGCCCTTCTGGGGCTGCCACGCCCCTGCCCACCTTGAGAGTAGAAGCAGAGGCAGGAGGCTCCACGGCGGCAGCAGGAGCGGGGACCCCTCCACTGTCCCGTGTGAAGGATGGAGCCCTGCGGCTGAGGATGGAGTTGGTTGCTCCAGAGGAGATGGGACAGGTAAGAGCTGGGTTCCAGGGTTTGGGCAGACACCTGAGGGGCAGTGCTTGGCCCCCAATTCCACACTGACCTCTGCCTGCTCCCCGGTCACCTGTCTGTCAGATCAGACTGCCCGTCTTTTTTCTTCCTGCCATCTCTCTTGGAAGCCCATTCCTGCTCCTTACGTGACCCTTGTTTTCTCTCTTAGGCTCCCTCTTCCCCATGTTCTGTCCTTTCTTTCTCTTTGGCCTTCCATGTGTTTCCTTTGACCTGAGCGTCCATCTCCACGTAGCCCAGTTCTGTCTGTCCTGGAGATGTGGCCTCCTCACTTCGGCCTTCACTTTCTGTCTTGATCTCACTTCTTCAGGCTTTGAGGGTGGAGGCCCCAGGCAGGGCTGGGGTAGTTGGGCCTCTGGGAGCTGCTGAGTTTGGGGGAGAAGAGAAAAAGTAGGCACTCCACAGTAAATCTCTCCTCTGCAGTCCCCTCTCTAGTTGGGGAAGGGGATCTTCTTTCTTTTCACGAGCCACCCTCCCAGCCCCATCTCTAGCTTCGTCCCAAGACATTGAAGAATTGGGTGGGGGTGAGGGAACCTGTTACAAGGATGGGACTTGGGCTGGTTTGTCTTTTCTACCCCCAGTTGTCTTTCTCCATTTCCCGTGTCTGAGCCTCTCCAGGATCAATCACTGGGGGTGGCCACTGTGGAGCAGGAGAGAGGTGGGAGGCGGCCGAGAAAGGGCTCAATCCTTTGCTCATTCTGCTTGCTGCCTCCCAAAGAGGAACAAGTCTGGGCTGGGAGGCAGGATGCCTGGGTCCTTGGGGGTGGGAGGGGGTGGGCAGCCAGGGGGTGTTGGATGCATCTGTCTTGAAGGAGAAAATAACACCTTGGATGCAGGACGAAAGGCAGGGAGTGTGAGGATGAGAACTTTTCCCCTTCCTGGCCTTGGGCACAAACCACAGTATAAAAATAACCTGAGACTGTGTGTCTGGGCCTTGTCAGGACTGGTCAGGACTGGCTCCCCCCACCCCCTCCTGGCCTCAAACTCACATCTCTCATGCTACCCCCCCATTTTTCTTGAGTTCTTTCATTTAGTTCCTACCCCAGGGGAGAATGTGTGTCCTTTACTGGTCCCTCTCCCCACACGCTTCCAAAGCAAGCCCCCTTTGCCCCTAGCCTCGGCTCGCTCTATCCTTAAGCCCTGCCTGAGCGTCCCCAGGGCCTGCAGACCCTGCCCCTCTCCCCTCTGCGCCCCCAGCCCCCTTTCCTTCCCCCACACCCTGATCTCTTCCTGTGTGCAGGTATCCGTGCTGCTGTTTCCCTGCCCCCAAGTCTGTCTCCATCTCCACTCCCCCCATGCCTCTTCTCCCTGGGTTGCTTCTAACAGGGGCCTGAAGGAGGGCCGGGGGCACCACCTGGGCCCCCTTCCTCTGTTTAGCCCGGGCAACCACCTTGGACTGTCTGTTCTTGACTTTTCCGAGAAGCTGGGGCCTCCTGGGGCCTCACAGAGGCGTCTTGTTCCTGTGGCCCCCGCCCTTTTGCAGCCACCTCTAGCGCCTGTTGGGCTGTGTGGGTCCACGCCCGGGCTCCACCTCCATCCGTCTCTGCAACTTCTCCCCCCACCAGCCCCCGAGAGCCAAGCTCAGGAGCAGGACTTCACCTGAGTCCCTAGAAGTCTGAGAGGAGAGACTAAAATGGGCAGAGGAGGGGTGAGCGGGGAGGAGGCGGAGGACCAGTTTCTGAGGATTCATTCATTCTGCAAATAGCTATTGAACAAACCATAAGCTCTGCCCTCTGGAGCTAACCTTCCAGCAGCAGAGAGGCAAAAATACTTTTATTCCAGATAATAGTAGGGACTACTAAAAAAAAAGATATAACAGTTTAGTGGAACTCACGAGTCAAAGGATGCAGAAATGCCCCTCTGAGGAAGTGATGTTTGAGTCGCCTTAAGAAGTCAGGTGACAGAAGGCACACTCTCTGACTAGCCTCTGACTAGCGGTCCTGGCTTAGGTTGGGGAAAGATACTGGAGGGTAGACCAGAGCCCCTCTGTGATACCCCATGAGCCACTTTTTGGAAGCCAGTCAACCCAGCCCTCAGGATGGTCCCTGTTTCCCTTGCCTCTAGTACCTGCCCAGTGCCATCCCCAGAGACAGGGGAAAAGAGGTCTGTGGGGGCAGGACGCCTGTGTCCTCAGAAGACAGAGGGAATGTGTGGGGAGAGCTGGGGAGGGAGGAAGACTGCTAGGCAAGTTGTAAGGTGGCTGGATCCTTTCTCTTGCTCAATGTGACGGTTCCTACCTGTCTGTCTCCAGGTGCCCCCAGTCGACTCTCGCCCCAGCTCTCCAGCCCTCTACTTCTTCCCCGATGCCAGTCTGGTTCACAAGTCTCCAGACCCCTTTGGAACAGCAGCTGCCCAGAGCCTCAACTTCGCCCGATCCATGCTGGCCATCAGTGGCCACCTGGACAGCGATGATGATAGGTAGGTGGGCTCCACTCCCCCCACACCCAGCACCTGGGATAAGTGCGGGGAAACAGCCTGATAGGTGTCCTTCCCCCAGCTTGAACTTGGAGAGGACTTCTTAAACAGAGAAGCCCGGCCTGGGCATGAAGCTGGGCAAAGCTGATTTGAGACCTACTCCCCTCTCTGTGGAGAGAGCTGGGTGGGACTCCCTGGCTTAAGACTGTCAAATTGTAGACTTTTTTTTTTTGAGTTTGAAGGGAGTCATTGTTGTCAAATTCCAGAGCTCTTGCAGATTTAGCGATCATCTGGCCAACCCTAAGAATTTACTGGCATCTGTGCAGGAGACCAGAATGGGGAGTCGGTCTCCTCCCCGTTTCCCCCCCCTCCCTCCCAAGGGCAGTGGGACTCCTGGCTGTGGAGGTGACATCCTCAAACTCCATGCAGACTACTTTAGGGTCCCGGGACCTCTGGTACCAAGAAAGCAGGTCCCTAAGTTTCTCTTCTCTGCACTAGGATCACCCTTGGCTCTGAACCCTTCCCAGAGGCCAAGGCCAAGCCCGAGCCATGGAGAGGCTGGCTGTCGGTCACAGGGAAGGCACAGGAGAGCAGGATCTGCTGGGGTTTGCCCTTCAGGAGAGAGTGTCCCGTTCATGGCACGGTGGGCAGAACTTCCTGTTTTGAGGGCCAGGTTTCAACATAGGAATGTCAGCAAACCAAAAGGGGAGGGACGAAGTGGCGAGGCAGGTGGTTAAGCGGCTGCCTTCTGGCTGTGGACTGACAGGAGCCCAGGAGAGGGGCCAGGGAGCTACCACTTTCATTTTGGAGGGAGGAGTGGGACTTCCTGTTTGAAGCCCTTGGGGGGAGGGATTTCCTGTTTGGAGGCCACCAAGGGGCAGGGCATTGTGGGAGCCAGGGGACTTGTTCCAGAGGGGAGTCTCTCCTTCCTGACTTGCACTCAAGTGGTGCCCCCTTCTCCTTGAATCAGGGACTGAGTGTTTGAGGTGGGGGCAGAGAGGAAAGGAAGGGGTGGTAGCCAGTGGGATGGAGGGGTGAGGGGCCTGCTGGGGCACCTGGAGAATGAGGGACAGCGCAGGGGTGGGCCGGGCCACCTCTGGGCCCCCTGCTCTAGGGAATGAGTGAGGTTCGAGGTCAGCAGGAGAGTCACCTGCCCCCATGGATCCTATTCTCTGTGCTTCCCACCCACTCCCCCTCCCACTCCCGCTTGGGAGGTTTACTGGCATGAAGGGCTCCCTCCCCTCCTCCACCTCTGTTGATTTCAGAGGCCAGCCTCCTACTTTCTCTTAGCAAGTTCTGCTTCCAGAAGCCTCCTGAGCTCTATTCTTTTGGGCTGTTCCTCCCTCCCTTCCTCCCACTGTCCCACCCCCTCAGACACCCCAGTCTGACCGAGTCTGACCGGTCTGCCTCCCAGCCTCCACTTTACCCTGCTGAGCTCCAAGCCTCTGGGGCTCGGGCCCAGCCCAGCCCCTCCTGCTCCACCCTGCTGGGCCAGCGGGTTTGGGTTGGGCTACCTCCTTGGCCCCCTGGAATGGGGCGTGTAGCCCCCACCTCATTTCTCTGGTGTGCCTGGAGCTGGCAGAACAGGGTATATGAGTGGCATGGGACCTCCCTTTTGATTAGGGAGAGTGGGCTGGCATATTAAGTGCCTGAATCCCAGGTGGGGAGTTGGGGGTGCCTGACCATTCTAGAAATCTGGGGATGGGAGAACAGAGGGTGCATGGTGAAATCAAACTGTTCACGTGCTCCTGAGTTGCAAGAACCTTCCGGCCTCCAACAGGGCCTGGAGGTTGAAAAGTACTTGAATAAATGGATGGATGGATGGATGGATGGATGAGGGGATAGGTGGATGGTTGGGTAGATGGCCAGCATGGGGGATCTGAGTATTACAAGGAATAAATTCTAGGAACTCAGGAAAGAAATGGTGCATTTGTTTATCTACTGCTTCCTTGGGGTCAGATGCTACTTCTTATCTCACATAATTCTAAGAGCAACTCCATGATCCCTCTTACGATGAAGAAAACTGAGACTTGGAGGAGGAAGGTTTTAGAAACTTGTCCAAAGTCACCCCGCTAGTAAGTGGCAGGCCTGCTGTCAGAGCCTGGGTCGGCCCCCAAAGCCACTTTCTCTCCATTCTCCTACTGAAATGCCTGTGTCCCAAGAGGAGAGGCGGAGACAGCCATCTCTGAGATGCACTTTCTCTCCAGGACAGAGGCAGAGACGGTCTCCCAATCCAGGCGAGGAGCCATCCTCCACTCCCTGGCCTGGCCCGGCCCCACCCCAGAGGCACCACAGATCTGGGAGGGAGTATAGACAGGGCAGCCGGATGCCACTTCATTGGCCTCTGGCCTAGCCCCTGGGGGCTCCTCAAAACATGTTGAGGAAGCAGGGTTAGCCCTTGTCCTCAGCATCGGAAACCGCCCCCCACCACCACTCTCCTAGATGTCCAGTTTCTTCCTCCGATCCTCACTTTGAGGCTGTTTTGTTTGACCTTCAAAAAGGAGAACTAGCCTCTACCGCTATCCTTGCCCCAGGACCTGAGAGTCCCGCAGGGCCAGAGTCCCCTGTTATGTGCTGCACAACTCCAGGGGGCGCCACTCACGCTTGAAGTCATAACAGTTTACGAGAAGATGGCGATAAGCGTCTTGAAAGATTTTATTCTGACTCACACAAAGTTGCTTTAGGGGCTTGTGGTGAAGCCTGAGCCCATCCAATCAACTTCAAACTTCCCACTCCAGACCCTGATCAGGAATTCCAGCACAGTGCCAGCGGTCCCTCACTCGGAGGTTCTCAAAGGGAGGGCTTGGTTTGCCAGAGTCCTGGTCCCTTGAAATGCTAATGTTAGAAAGTGCCAGTGGAAAGTGCCGTCAAAACCTCTCCAGCACTAGACAAACAGGAGATAATCATCTATCAGCCAACAAATGTTTACTGTTGTATTTTTCCTTTATTTCTGGCAAGAAGGAACAACTTACTTGGCATCTTTACCGAGTGTCCGCCAAGCAAGGCCAGTGTTCCTATTCCGGCGGAGCTGCGCCGCTTTGGTCTCTGAGTGTCTGTGTGTACTGGTGGGGTGGGGGTTCTCTGGTGGCCCAGTCTCCACCCAGGTGTCTTGGTTTGAAACACCTTGAAAACTGCTTAGATGCTCCAGCCGGCTGGCCCTTCCTCTGCTCTTAATCTTGTCCTCTCCCCGCAAACCCCGAGTGTCCTAGGTGTCCTTCCCCTCCCTCATCCTATCCTGCCCTTGCAGGCCTGGTTCACCCTGTTGGTTGCTCCACCTGTCAGCGGCTTCTGCACCCAGACCTTGGATGGGAAGTGGAAAATTCCCAGTGCCCTCGTGCTCTCTTCCTGGCTGCAGGGCCCCATGCAAGGGTCACCTTGGGTTGAGTGCTAGTTCCCCCCACGGGGAAGCAAGTTGGAACTGACAGCCAGGAGAGGGGGCTTGATGAGGGAACACAGGGGCGAGGCAGTCAGCACTCGGGGGTGTTGGGGCCACCTTGCCCTGAGAGGGGCGGAGCTGGGGGCCAGAGGGCAGGATCGGGGCTCCTGCGGTCCTGGGGTGGAGGGCTGGTCTCAGGGCTGAGGCGGCTGACGCAGAAGCCTGACGGGGCGGGTGGTGAGCCACGGGGTGAGGAGAGGGAGCCTTCGAGGAGAGGACAGGGCGCAAAGGACCGCTCAGGCCCTGGGCCATGGAGAGACCAGCTTGGGGGAGGGCCAGATTCTGGGACCCAGAGCCTGGCCCTGGGGACCATTGAGCCAGGCTTGAGTCGACCTCTGGTGGCCATTTAATAAACTGCAGCCAGACCTGCTCTCCCGTCCCTGCCGTCTGCTCCCAGGAATCTTCAAAGCACCTGCGCCTCTTCCCCAGGATCCCACCTCCATCCTCCTCTTCCCACCTCTTAAACTCTCGCTCTTTCTGAGATCCCAGATAGCAGACCCGGGTTCCGGGACCATAGGCTGGTACTTGTCTTTCAGGCTTTTTCTGTTGCTATGGTAATCTTTCCCATTCCTCCTCACCCTCACTGTAGGAGGTGTGGGGCACCCTCTGGCTGGGCCCCAGGGGCCACCCCTGATGTGGCCTTAGTGCTTCAGGGAGGTGCTTCTAGTCCAAGGGAGACCACACACACATCAGAGATGCCCCCTCACCCCATCACCTCCACTCCCTCTCTCACCTCCCAGCCGAGAGCAGCTGAGGCCTTGAGGGAGGCCAGTGTTCACCCAGAGTGGGTAGGATAGGGTCAGAGGTGGGAAGAGGCCTCCCAGGGCCAGGCTCCCCCTTCACACCCTTCACAGCCTTCCCTGACCCAGGCTTCTGGCCCCGCAGCCCCTCCCCCGACTCGGCCCACCAGCTGACTGTCCTCAGCCGGCCCCCTCCCCTCGGCGCTGGGATCGTTGCCAGGGTGAGAAGGGGACACTGGCACTGACCGTGCCTGGGAACTCCCGCCCACCATGGAGCCGGCGGGAGGGGGTCCCCGTGTCCCCGAGGAGCCAATAGCAGCCAGGCTTTGCCCTGGGGGTGGTGTATATCTTTCACGCCAGCACCCCCTAGGCACTGTCTCCCTTCTGCCTGTCTGGCACCAGCCAGACTCTGCTCTGCCCCGGGGGGCTTTGAGCCCCCCAGGCGGTCCTTCTGCTGCAGCCCGCTCCCTCTGGGGAGGCCTGAGGACCGTTTCCCCTCGGGCATGGCCCAGCCAGGGGTGTCTGTCAAGTCCCTGGTGTCCTCCTATGAGACCCGAGTGGTGGGGATGGCTCCGGCACCTCCCCGCAAAAGGGGCTGTGTCTCTTCTCCTTGCTCCCCCCGGGGAGCGTCCCCCATCCGAGGGGCATCTGGACCCCCACCCCACCGGGGCCTGGGGGGGCCCGGGCAGCGGCCCTCACCCCGCCGGGGGATGGACAAAACCCTCCTGTCCCTGATTCTCTACTGCCACAGGTACAGGCCGGGGTCTGGGTGGGAGGCTGCGGCAAATGGGGCTCGTGGAGGCGGCCAGAGCCCATGCCGAGGAAGCACCTGGAAGGCAGTGGGCTGGGGTGTCCAGACACCCGGCCTGGCCCCTCTTCCTTCTCCTCACCTCTCGTCTCCCTGTGTCTCTCCAGTGGCTCCGGAAGCCTGGTTGGCATTGACAACAAGATCGAACAAGCCATGGTAAGAGAAGCCATCTTGATCCTAGCAGGTCCCAGTTTGCATGCTGATGCCCAGGCCCCAGCCCCGAAGCTCCATCCCCTCCATTATTAGGGATACTGACTCCCAGCTGCTCGACCTGCTCCCAGCTGGGTTCCTTTGGATCCTCTACCCCTTCTTGTCTCCACCTGAACCCTTGACATACCTTGGTTCCTAGCCTACTCCTGGCCACCATCTCTGTCTTTGAGCCCTGACCTTGCCTCTGTCCAGCGTCCTTACCCACCCCCATCCCCCACACCCTGCCCCTTCCCTGGCTGACTTCTTCTTCCCCAGCACTCCCCCATCATCTGGGGGAAGGGGGATCTCTTAACACCCACCTCCTCAAGGCACCAGGCAGGGGCTGAGGGTGGGGTGGTGGCCTGGGACCCCTGACGCTTCTTTGCCTGTCCCTGGACCCCCCAGGACTTGGTGAAGTCCCACCTCATGTTTGCGGTCCGGGAGGAGGTGGAGGTGCTGAAGGAGCAGATCCGGGACCTGGCGGAGCGGAACGCCGCGCTGGAGCAGGAGAACGGACTGCTGCGTGCCCTGGCCAGCCCAGAGCAGCTGGCCCAGCTGCCTTCCTCGGGGGTCCCCCGGCTTGGACCCCCAGCGCCCAATGGGCCCTCGGTCTGAGCCTCCCTTCCCTCACAATGTGCCTTTGGGGGCCACCAGAGCTGCCAGGCCCTGTGCCAGCTGCCTGCCCCCCTTCCTATGCAGCTTTAACGCCCCCTGATCCCCGGGGACGGGCATGGAAGGCTGAGAAGGGGCCTGGCCCCACCCTTCCTTGATGTCCCTGCAATGCCTGGGGACCAGGCTGGGGCATCCCTGCACATTGACGGAGGAGGGAATGCATCGGGACAGGATGTTGGATGGAGCCCCCCTCCTCCTTTCCCAGCCATCAGTGTTCCGGGACCCCCAGCAATAGATGGCTTGGGGGAGTTGGAGGCTCCCTGGCAGCCGTCCCCACCTTGTTCCCTGGAGCGCGCCCCCCCACCCCCTGCCTCCTCTGCCAGGGGAGGGAGGACAGACAGTGTATCTGGAAGTTCTGGGATTCAGGTTGTTATTGAAATAATAATTATAATTAAAAAATCCGAAGAAACTTGAATCTGGAGGTTGGCATCTTGTTGCTTGCGTCCAGATGGGGGACCGGCACCACCAGTTCCCACTTGTGGGGGAAAAACCGGGGCTGTGGGCTTCTCTGAAGCTCTTGCCCGGGCCAGGGAGGGGAAATGTGGCTCAGCATGGAGATGTGGGAGGAAAAGGGAGCCCACGGCCTGGGTCCTGGGAAGGGGCAGGCGAGGCGAGGCTGAGGGAGTGGGGAAGGGGGGGCGTCAGCCCACGTGCTGGTGGGGGACAGGGGAACAATGGAGCCTTTGGTGATTGTGCAGGATCCTCCCCCCCCACCCCGCCCCCAGCTTCCCAGCATGTCCCCTCTGCGGGCTGGATCCGGGTGGCTGCTTGGGGGCGGGGCAGGGGGCCCTGAATGGGCCCCTTGTCTCAATGCTGGGTGTGGGCCAGGCTCCCCGGGCACACTATGCCCTCGCCAGGCCTGGCCAGCCTCCGTGGCCTCCACCCCCAGCTGGCTGACGCTGGGGCCCTTCGAGTGAGCAGGCCCCTCCCTGACAGCCTCAGCTCCCGTCCCAGGCGAAAGAGGCAGGGGAGAAGGACCCATCTAGTGGGGAAGTGGGGAAGCAGCAGCCGCCACTTGGGACTGAGAGAGCGGTCACCGAGAGCGGGATCCTGGGGGCTGACTTGGGGTTTGGACTCCCCGCCCTGTGGCTCCCTAGATTTACGACTTCGGCAGGCTCTCCTGGTTTTCCAGGAGTCTCAGCTTCCTCCTGGGTGAAATGGCCCTGACAAGAAGACCTACCTGAAGGGCAGCTGGGAGGGGTTACATGACATCATACATGGGAATTGCCCAAGGAGTACCAGGTGTTCACTGTGAGTTTCCCTTCCTTGGATTTGGGGGAAGGAGGGTTGAGAGCACCGGAATCGGCTCTGGGGGGTCCTGGAAGGGCCTCGGGGGTTGGGGTCAGGGCCAGGCAGACTCTCACAATGGTCTAGAACTCTCTCTCCCTCTGGGTTCTCATCCACTTTTGACTCCTCTCCCTGTCTCAGGGAGGGGAGGAAGGGCCTAGGATGAGTCACTGGGAGGATCTTTCCTCCTGGATTCCCTATTTCTTTCTTCACTGCTGTGCCTGAAGTTCCTCAGAGACCCCTTGGGTGGCGGCCACTGGCCCGCAGCCTCTCCCCCTCCCCGGCCCCACTGAACTAAATGCTGGTTCTGCCCCTTTCTTGGGGCTCATGTAATCGGGAGAAATGGCAGTGGTTATTAGGTTCTTCCGATGGATTTGGCAAAAGATCAGCCGCTGGGTAAGTTTCAGAGCCCCTTTCTCCCGACGTGCTGGGGTGGGAGATGCTGGCCAGTGACCTCCAGGTCACAGAAACCCCCCACTTCCTCACCTGGCGTCCTGCCCTTCCTGGCCTCCGGTGGCCAGACAAGCTGGGGAGGGAGGAGGTGAGGGCTGGGGCAGCTGGGGAGGAGGCCGGGACACTCGCTGCCCCTTCTCCTCTGGGCCTTCCCTTCTCCTGACAGTTTTCTCTTGCTCCGCCTCCTCTCTTCCATCCCTCCTCTCCCTGTCCGGTTCGTAGGTTTTCTTCTGGAAACACAAATCTAAGTCAGTCATCATGGATCATACTGACTCCAAGAAAAATGAGTTGAAGGCAGAGAAGGCTTTCAAGGTGTCTGAGACTTTCAAGTTGGTTGAGACCCCCAAGGAGGCTAAGGTCTCCAAGATGGATGTGTCCCACAAGGTGGTTGACCCCTGCCTGTTAGCCAAGACCACCATGGATGGGGCTGTGGTGGAGGAGGGTCGCCATCGGCGATCACTGTTGCAGCTGCCCCAGGCGGCCGTCAAGTCCGTCTCCATGCTCATGGCCTCCGCCCTGCAGTCTGGCTGGCAGATGTGCAGCTGGAAGGTCAGCACTATGTCCCCTTTGTCCCCAACAGCCCCTCCCTTCCCTCCCAGATCCCCCTTGCTCATTCATGCCGGTGGGAATGTAAAATGGTGTGGCCACTCCGGAAACACCGTTTGGTCACTTCTTATCAGACTAAACATGCAATTATTGTATGGCCTGGTGATTGTACTCTTGGGCATTTATCCCAGATAAACGAAAATTTATGTTCACACAAAAATCTGTACATGATGTTCATAGCAGCTTGATTCATAATAGCCCAAAACAACCCACCTGTCCTTCAAGGAATGAATGGTTAAACTTCACTATATCCATATCCTGGAATGCTGCTCAGCCATGAAAAGGAACAATACTGATACATACAACAACTTGGATGGCTCTCAAGGGAATTATGCTGAGTGAAAACAACAAATCCAAAAGCTTATATATATATATCATATGATTCCACTTACATTATATACCATTCCAGAAATAACAGAATTAGACAAATGGTGATCCAATTAGTGGTTTAGTGGTTTCCAGGGGCTGTGCTACAGACGGAGAGTTGGGGGAGGTGGATTGGTTATAAAAGGGCGACATGAGGAATCCTTGTGTGGATGGAAATCTCCTGTATCTTCACTATGGTCGTTGGATACATGAACCTGCACATAGGATATAAAATTGGGTAGACTCCAACACACAAAAACACACAAATGAGTGCAAGTAGAACTGGGGAAATATGAGTAAATGCAGATCAGTGGATTGTATTGATGTCAATAGCGTATGAACTAGAGATCTGAAAGATTTTACTATTGAGGGAAAATAAAGGGAAAATCTTTACAAAAGATTTTGCTATTGTAAACAGAATAAGGAATCCATTTCTCACAAGTGCATGTGAGTCTACAATTATCTCAAAGTCAAAATTTTAGTTTAAAAAGGGAAATGTCTAGCTCACCATCAAGTCAATTTATTTTGGTTTTGAATAATGTGTTACTACATTAATAATAATTTTTAAAAGTCCACCTTGGGAATTCACTGGCAGCCCAGTGGTTAGGACTTGGGGCTCTCACTGCTGAGACCTAGGTTTGGTCCCTGGTTGGGGAACTAAGATCCCACAAGCTGCTCAGCGCAGTCAAAAAATAAAATAAAAGTTCACCTGGCGCCCTGTTGAGGGAGGTCAGAAGGGGCCAGGAGCAGAGAGACAGGAAGACCCACTGGAGGTGCTGCAGTTCAGGTCAGCAGGGAAGAATGTTCTGGATGGGGAGGGAGGCATCAGGTAGAACAAATTAATGGGTTGGAGGGATATTTAAGAGGTAGAATTGTTGTGCCAGGTGCTTGATTGGGTGGTGGTGAGGGGAGAGAGACAGACAGAGGTCAAAGCAGGCTGGAGCCATTCACTGGGAGCAGAGCTGACTTAGGGAAGAGAGTGACGAGTTTAGGGCACTGGGACAGGATAAGTTGAGGTGTCAAAGTACATCTTTAGGGAGATGTCTAGGAAGCAGTGGGAAATACAGGCCTGAGGTCAGGAGAGAGCTTTGGGTTGGAGACTGTCCTTCATTGCTCCATGGAACTCTAGTGGGGACTCAAAGGTAGGTCAGACATGGTCCCTGGCTTCCAAGAATTTGCGTGCTGGTATTGAAGACAGATGAGTCCACAGAACAAATCGTGTATAAAACGTGGTATAACAGGGCAAACCCGAGAGCAGAGACAGCCCCAGAAGGCTTCCTGGAGGAGGCGGTACCCAAACTGTGGCCTGACAGAAGAGGAGGCATTGAACAAGCCTTGCTGTTTATCTGCAGGTGTTTTCACCAGCAGTTTCTCTGGAGGCCACGCTGTTCACCTGTGCTCATCTTCTCTCTTTCACAGTCATCTGTGAGTTCTACCTCAGTTGCCTCCCAAATGAAGACCGGGTCCCCCCTGGAGTCGCGAGAGGCTGAGATGCTGCGGGAAGTGTACCTGGTGCTCTGGGCCATTCGGAAACAGCTGCGGCAGCTGGCCCGCCGGCAGGAGAGACGGCACCTGCGCCACCTCCGGGCCCACACGGGCCCCCAGCCTGACCCAGTTCAGGGTCTGAAACAGGATGCCCGGAGTCCCCTCTAGGGGGGAACCCCACATCCTCAGAAAGCCCCCACCTCACTCTTAGGTAAGGTTGATGGGAGAGGTTAGAGCAGCAGGCCAGGAGTTGTGGGTGAGGAGAAGTTGTCACACTGTCACCTCTCATTGAGACCTGGAGGCCTGGCCGGGGGGTCCCACATACACTCCCCTCCATTCCTTTTATTCAATTTGTAAAAAGAATTATCAAAATGTTGGGAAATAATATCAGATATTTCCGAGTAGATGTAGAGTGTGTTTGTGGGTGAAGGAGGGGAACCTGGGTGGGATATGGGAGGGTGGCCTGAGGCTTCAGCCTGGACACGTGTGGGAGTCATCTCTGGACCTGCTGGGGGGGGTGGGGGGTGGCAGTGGAGGGGGGTCTGGCCCTGGGTCACACGCTTCTCAGGGCTGAAGGCCTTTGGGGACTCTGCCCTGCCTGTCACGGTACCAGGTATGGGCACTGGTTCATTGAGGACACGCTGGGAACCGGGTGCTGAGCCCGCGCTCTCCCTGGAAATCCTGCAAGACTGACTGTTGCAGATGCTACGGGGCTCTTCTAAGGCCCCTAGCCGAAAGAGACCGCGCTGGAATCTCTGCCTCCGCAGCCAGCCCGCTGCTCTGCCTCTCCGGCTCTCCTGGGCCAGGCCACAGCGAGGGTCAAGGTCGCGCACCTGGCGGCCGCGGACACGCATCAGGGCCAGCGGACCCCCCCCCCCCCACCGCTCCCCCCGAGAGCTGCCGAAAACTACATCTCCCAGGGTTCCCGGGGGCGAGGTTGGGCCGCCGCGGGGAGAGGGCCCGGGTCGGGGCCCGCGGGGTCGCGGGCGGAGGGCTAAGCTGGATGTCCACCTGGCGCCTCGGGACGAGCGGCGGGGGAAGTCAGCGGCGATTTGACGCGAGGTTGAGGCGCGGGAGGCCACGCGAGCGAGGGGAGGCCGTGGAGGCGCAAGTCCCCTCTCCCTCCTTATCTTGCCCTCTCGCCGGGCCACGCGAGGGCGCAGAGGTGGCTCCCCAAGGAAAAGCAGGGTATTTTGCAAGCCGGCAACATTCAGGGA